TAGCTTGCTTCATAGTATTTTGGTACTTCCGCTTCAATTTTTGTCTGTACACAAATTAAAAAAAATAGTGAAAACGAAAAGAACATAACCAAATATCCCACAGCCTCAAAATGAGAGTTTGGTTTGCCCAGTGAGCAAAGATTTATATGAGTGTTCCTTATTTTGGCCACATAAGGTTTGCTGCACACTAGCCTTCCTTCGCCACCTCCTGCTTGGGCTCTCCTCCCAGCATTCAGTGTTCACTCATGAGCACAGGCACCATGGAGCTGAACCCAGCAGAAGTGCACCTTCCTTGGCTTCCTGGGGGACAAAGCTCCAAAAGGCACGACACCACTGGTGGCACCCTTGACATTCATTGGGCATGCACATGGAGGGCAAAGAGTGATGACACCAAAGCCAAGATGTCTACAGTATAAAGGCCACTATCAGCCTGGGCTGCCCCAGTGGAAAAAAAGACGAGTACCCTCAGTGATGTGGTTCTTCTCACCTCTTTTAGCTGCCAGCGTTACACCGAGGTGTATTTTGCCCTTTCCATGCCTGTTTCTCCCAGCTGACCATAAGGTGAGCTCAGGCAGATTCATACATAGTTACGCTTATATGAAAAGTTAGCTGAGCTGAAGCCCATCTGAAGCATGCCTTGCCTGCTAAAGGTCAAAATTCAAGGTGATAGGCCTTGAATGCAGGACCAGATGTTCACGGAGGGCAGCAGGGTCGGAAGGAGGTTTGACTGCAAGCTGAGGGATTTTTAATCTACTATGGAGCTGGCAGAGTCCTGCCACCACACGGAAAGGTTTGAGGGGGTTTTAGTTTGAGTAGGAAGGATAGTGCCACATGGTTTTAGTGGGTTTTTTTGTGACTGAGAAATGCTATTCTTGTACCTTAAAGATCAGTGTGGCAAACCTTTTATTTCTGTGTTAATGATTTGAGAAAAAACAAACTCTCCCACCCAACTCACCCTGTGAAAGAAGAACATTTCTCAAGGGTGAGAAGAAGTGAAATCAAAGTATCTTGCTGATGGCTAATGTCTGCCTGTACCAGCAATGCAGGTAGGCCCATGCTTGCCTGGTTTGTGCCCTGGGATGGCCAGTTTCAGCCAGTGTTTCCTCATTAAGACAATGTGTTTGGGCTAGTTTGCCCTGCCTTAAACGGATCAATCCAGCAGCATGTTTTCACACCTGGCTCCAAAGTCCATGCCACATCCTGCTCCTCCGCACCCCAGCCCCTTTGAATGCTAGCACCAACGGAACAGTGCAGCCTTTCAGGTCAGGCAGCTCATGCAGCAGAAGACAACCCTTTTTTGGCTATTTTAGGCTTCAGGGGGATCCTTCAGGAGGCAAAGGCTGCACAGGAGAGCAGAAGCCACCCCGTCCCTCAGCTCTTTGCCCTTCAGTCAGCTGCAGCAGACCTTGGATCGCTTCAGTAAGGCCTCTATACCTTAAGGCTTGCTTCCTCCCTTCTCACGCCATGGGCTGGCCTTCGGACTTGGACTTTCCCTAAATTTGCTATGGCAGAAATAGCTGGAAATTGGAAATACTGAGCCAGCTCTCGTGAGCCCCCCCACTCTCCACTAGCTCTGGTGGGAATCTAGAGCAAGAGAGTGCTTTAACTGAACTGCTCGCAGTTAGGTGGGATGAACCCAAGCCCAGCAAATTCAAGGACTTTTCCCCGGTACTGCATCGGAGATCTGAATTTGAACTGAACACCACATCCAGTGTCATACCAGTATCATCTGTCTCTTGTTTTTGCCTTAACTTTCAAAACTTTTAGGGGGGGGGGGGGAGCGATGACTTCTTTTACCTATCTAATCATTTTCAGCATTACTTTGCCCATTTAAAATGCAATTTCTTCCGTTTTTTTGCTGCGTCTGTGGTTTAGAAAGATGACGTTTCAAGTGAGTAAGAAAATCCATGGTACATTTGAGCCATGTTCGTGTGAGCCATGCAACCCCAAAGCTCAGCTAAATTCTCCATAACCTCCCTCCTGACCTCACTGAGCTTCGGGGAAAACACCGCTGGCCGCAGGAGAAGAGGAGGAGCATGGCCCACCTCCCATCCCACTGCCCCTGGCTTGTCCTCCCTGCTGTTAGAGCAGGGATGCCATAAGGGTAGCAGTGGGGCAAGCAGCAGCAGGGTGGGGACGGTGGAGACACGACAAAGCTGGGGAATGCCAAGCAGAAAGCATGACTCACATCCCGGTTACGACCGCGGCATTGGCTCCCAATAACTGCAGCGGTGTTAGACTCGCAATACTGGGTACCAGGAACCATCGATGCTCCTGGCACCTGGACCACTCCTACAGACACGTGCAATGGTGTCAGGCTTTGTGGGTCCACCCTAGCAGATTCTGGCAAAAATAGATTTCTTACCTGAGCACTTAATTACTTTTTCAGCTGTTTTTTCGCTGACTTGGTTCTTAACAACACATCTGAACGTCCCAGAATACCGCGTCTGCAATTCCAACCTTGTTACATTGTTTTGGATGTTTTTGTCTTTATTGCGAGTCAATTCTATTATAAATGTTTCGTCTTTAGTCTTCTGCTTCACTTCACACGTGACAGATACAGTTTTATTCCTGCATTCACCACTGAGAATTGGCTGAGGGACAGGCTCTGAAAAAGAAGAGAAGGGACAGGCACGTCTGAGATGGTTTCTCCTTTTGAAAACCTCCATTATTAAGCAGAAAAGAGAATTAGCCCCCAATAAGCAGTAAGGGAGTAACACTAGCTAATGAGGCCAGAGAAGAATGAAGAGCAAATTAAGCCTCTACTACAGAAGTAACATGGCAATAATAAAGAAAACGCAGTATATTAGCCTACATAGTTGGTCTAGCCAGGCAGAGCTGCATCACCATGGCTGGACTACTTTCAGGCTCAGCCTGGCTCACAGCCAGCCAGCCAGGCAGGCAAGGGGAGGACGTTGTGGTTTTGGGGGGAGGCAGCAGATGGGAGGGACTTGGAGCCACAGCCCCCTCTCCAACTCTGGTCCCAATGTTTTGGTGCAAAGGAAGTCGGCTCTGATCTGCCTGTGGCCATCAGCAGAGATTTCCTCTAAGACAGGGCAAAGAGCTACTTACGATGCCTTATGTACTACCAAAGGCACTCAGCTAGCACCACAGCCACAGCATGAAAACCCATCAAAACAGAATAGAAAACACAAAACAGACACCTCTTAGCTCTCAATGAGGTTATGACAGAGAGAAGTGATTTCTGACTCTTCTTATGTCCTGCAAACAGCTAGCTGTATTTCTGTTCCAGATTCTCTATCACTGGTGGCACTGAAAGAGCCAGCAAAGCCTGTGGGGCTTTCCTCAACTAGGGGCAACTGACAGGGACATCTGATAGAAAAAATTTAATTCCTACCTTTTAGACCAGATAAACAAAAACATGCCAGAGCCACCTCTAGTTATAGGCAGTGTAAGTTAGAGAGAGCATAAATTTTAAAGCCAATAAGGATTGCTTGTAGCAAATGCAGTCTAGGTTCATGCTGTGACATCTGTAGCCACCCTTTCCTCGTTAAGCCCACTCCTCTTCTGCAAGCTGTAACCTATCATTCAGGGGAACACCCCAGTGTGAAACACTGGAGGCCAGATCCTGGTGATGCACTTGTGTGATGATATAATCTAAACTATTATTTTTTTGGAACAACTGTTTGTCCAACCCTAGTAACAAAGTATAATCTGGCTGACAAATGACTCTAGCACCTGACAGTTACTGACGGACTTTACTTCCAAAACAGCTATCAGAGATAAGGCAACCTCTCTGCTGCACAGTAGATGACATGATGCAGCACATAGCTAGGTTGCAACCTTAACCTGAAATTGAACCCAGGACACCCCAATGACAGCTTGGTGCCTTAAAGCATAAGTAAGTAGCATCAGGCCCTGATGACTTCCTGAATCTGTAGGCAGTTTGCAATAATAATTCCCAAAGTAGCGAGACACCTTCACTTCTCAGCAGTCTGTTAGCCACAAGGCCTCCCACTGCACAGAAACCATTCCAGCTGTCTTTGCTGCTGCTGCCGCCTCATCAAGGTATCATTTCTGTAGTGCCAGCTGGTGCCCACAAACTCAAGAGGCTGGCAGAGGTGTGCATGCTGGCTGAGGAAGGACACAGCAAAATCATCTTCTTGCTGGGAAAAAACCCACGCTGCCTGAGAGCTTAGTGGTCTGGAGAGGTGGCAGCAGCCGTAAAGGAGCAGGAGAGCCAGCCGCTTCTTCCCTGCTCATCCCAAAAGCTTTGGGCTGCTACCGCTCTGATCTCTCAGGACAAGATACAGCACAGGAATGGAGAGGCTGCCTTCATGCTTTGAACCCATGCAGCTGAAACCCCCAGGCGTGTGCTTAAGTGTGCTTTGAACAGCACAATCTTCATATTTGTTGTGTTATGTTATGCAAGGCTAGGGTGCAGCAGTCCTCTTCCCCTGCAAATTCAACTCCTGTTGTGGTGTATCTCAGGGGAGGTGACTGCTGGCTATTTTTTACGTTAGAGCAAAAGTGGAGTGGGATCGCATTGCCTAAATACAGGCACTTAGCGCCACCTGGGCTCCTGAGCTCTCCTCAGGAGATTGGCAGATGCAACACAAGGTGCTCACCTTGCTGGAGCAGAGACCAAAAGTCATAACTCAGTGCCTATAAAATAGCACTGGAAGCGCACAGTACCACAGCCACAGGCGTACCTCACGTAGGTTGCTGCATTCCCACAAGAGGTTTCTGGAAGCAGGGTGCTGCTGGGAGCGCAGCCCTGCTCGTGTGGTGCCGCCCCAGCTCAGGGCCCGAGGGGTCCCAGCACCACGTGCGGTGCTGCGGTGCGGCCGTCCGCACTCACCCTGCTGCCAACACGGACGTGCTCACAGCTGCTTGCTTGGGCACACATGGAAGCCTGGTGGCTGACAAAGAGGGGAGCCAGAAAGAAGCAGGGGACCAGAGGGCATCAACAGAAGCAAGTGAAAGGAGCAGAGCGGCAGACTGCTGTCAGTGGGGAGAGGAAGGAGGTACGTCTCACAGAAGTCCCCCTGAAACAGAAAGGGGGCCAATGAGTAGAAAAGGCTCTAGGAGAGAGCGGGAATACCGAGTCTTATTCAGCTATGCTCGGAATGGTATGGGAAGAGCAAAAACTCACCCTGAATGATGAACATTGTATCTTCTTCTGCCTTCAATTTTCCATCCTCCTGATAAACAGTCACCGTATACTTTCCACTGTCCTCTTTCACCACCCGCTCTATTTGCAGAGTCCCATTTAGGAATATCTTACACCTGCACTGGTCCTTGTTCACATAGTACTTAACTGTCTTATCTTTTATCTGAAGCAACTTTTTTCTGTCTCTCAGCCATGTTGCATCATATACTCTCCCAGCAGCAGAAGTGATGCTGAGAAGAGCAGACTCATTCACTGCCATGTAAATCCAGTTGGTGACAGAGCCTGTAAAGGGAAGCACAACCAGCTCATCAGCGTGTCTCCAGCAGCCCCTGCTGCCGTGCTTGGCAGCCACAGCGGTGACCCGAAAGGTTGTCACTTGCTACCCCCTCTGAGTTGCCTCTCTTCGTTACTGATGCCGTTTTCTTCCCCTGCTCCAAAGCACCTCTTGATCATTCATTAGATAAATGTCAGCGCCCAATTTAATTCTGGGATGCAAGGAAGCTAAGAGTCTGGCTTTCAAAAGCTGGCTTTATATTCTGGCTGACTTATTTGGAATGATTTTGGATGCCAAGATTCATGGCTGCCCACGAACTTAACCCTGAACTTAACCTTTCCTGAAAATAAGGTCACTTCAGTGTATTTTGCACGTGGCACAGGCTGGTACTTAGAGCGCCCATCACTGCAAACATCACTGCAGACAGCAAGAACACAAACTAGTAGTGCCCTTGGAGAGTAGGATCAGTTCAGCAATAACAGTGATGGCAATAATAATAACAATAGTGGCCCATGTCAAGCAGTGAGTGTAAGGCACTGAACTGGAAGGGGGCACTGCAAGCTGGCAGACCCAGTGCTGCCAGCTTACAGTGCCCCCTCCTCACCCATCCTGGGCACCCTGCCCCACTGGAATATATCCACTTGATTTTTCTAGCACAGGATCATGGTGGGACAAGCAAGGTGGGGAGAAACAAACAGCTAACCACATCCTGTGAACTGATCGGGCACTGGAGACATTAGGAGATAAGCAAAGGACAAAAAAATCTTTTCTCTTTGCAGGTCTCCTTCGATGACGGGTCCCCTCTCCAGACCAGGTGAGAGTAGGTGCTTCCCAAAGGCGCTACCAGGACTGGGCAGCACTTAGCGCGCGGCTGCTGAAGGGGATGTTCAGGAAAGCCAAGGCTGCTAAACATCAATCACGTTACTACCAGTGGAGATGATGTACTCCTCGGGCTGTGCCTGGGTGGCCTGCCCTCTCCCCTCCAGGCTGCTTCACAGCCTTCGCAAGTCCCATCTCGGTGGGAACCGGGACTTCGGAGTGCAAAGTTTGTCGGGAGGTCACTCCAAGTAAGGTACTGTCTCCACCCCCGTGGCAGGTGGAAAATTTGCAGAAGGAGGTAGAAAAGTGCGCACAAGTGTGAGGTGGGATAAGCTCACTGATAACCGAATGTGCACTCAGACCCACGGCTTATTTAATTTGTCATTTTCTTATGTTCATTCCTCATCTATTTACAGGATAAAGCCGAGCGGCAGGAGGGGATTTCTCATCACATCACCAGATAGAGCTGATTCTGCTCCAATTTTATATATTTCAAGCACTTTTTCCCCACAGAGAGAAAAACTATGTTTATGCATACTTTTATTACAGTCCTTAATTTCTGGTATCTAGGACAATGACAAACTGTGTCACAAAGGGGAAACTGAAATCCAGTTGCTATTTCATGAAACTAACAATATTAGAGATAATCAAAGAACTAAAATAGCGTGCCTCTGCAACAAGAAAATTAATACTGAAGTGCTTCCATCGATTCATCCCCAGTCTAAGGAGAGGCTGTTATTTCGCTATCGCATTTCTTACAAGGTATTTGATGTATCTAATGAAATATTCTGAAATCAAGCTATCAACCAAACAGTCTTGGAAGTAGCTATCCTCCACACAGATGACACTATAGATTATACCCAAATATTTGAATTCTGATACTTGTTTCTGCTCAGTCATGCACAGGTATTTAGCGCTAGTAATAGGATTTCTTTGCATAACAGATACTATCATTTATTTTTTCTCTCTGGAAGTGAAGAAAAAAAATAATCTAAGTTTTCAAGGATAATTCAATGGCATATCTATGGACAGACCACCTAGACACATCTCTGGATGTTTATCCGATCTCCACAGTCTTGCTAATGGAAAGCTGAGTACCCCACACATATGATACTAAAAATCTGTTTAGCTAATGAAACGGCATTTCTGCTAATGCCAACCGAAATGTGCTCCAAGGGGCAGAAAGATCCAAACTGGCAGTGTAGAGCTCACTTGCAGTCACACAAAAGAGTTAAAAGGAAAAGCTCCCATAGTAACTTTAGAGAAGTAAGGAAGTCTATGAAACAAGTTTTCCATTCAAGGGAATAATCTTCATTTCTGCTGGGGAAGATGTTTTATATATCATGTACAAAAAAAAAAAAATCCTTATTTATCTATTAATTTTGTTCTGGAGGAAAATAAAAGCATTAAACAGCCATACCTACAATATGTAGTGGAATGAACAGAGAAAAAAAAAATCTATGCATGATTGTATTGTTTCCATCTCTTATAACCTTCTCAAATCTATGAGTTAACACCTTAATTAAGTTTTTAGATTAATATTTAAAAAAATAATGAGAGCAATAATACACAAAATATAAAAGATGTATTTATTTGCTTGCTGTTTTCACATCTTAGACTTCTTCAACTCCACTGAAGACACTGAGATATATCACTCTTCCTGTTAATATTTATGGAAGAATATAATTTGCACTTTCAAAAGATTTGCTCATCTTTGATAAGAAAAGGAAATTTCATATGATAACGCACCGCAAACTGGTTCTCTAATGTAGCACAAGCTACCTCGAGGGCAGAGAGAAAACTGCATGCTGACATTTCTCATTATACATGTGTCAAATTAAGGCTCGTTAACTTAAAACGAAAACTGTTTACAGTTTATTATTATAACTGGAATAGGAAACTCAGGTTCTGCCCTCCCCCCTGCTGAAAATTAAATCAAATAATAATAGCAATAACCCAAAGGTCTTCACTCATCAGGAAAGGAGAACTAGTTTCTTATCAGTAACTTCCCACCAAGTTGTAAATTTTTTAAGACGCAATTTTAACAATGCTAGCCTGAAAGAGCGAAAAAACAGTAACAAAAACTCACATTTTACACTGGGAAATAAAAGCAGCAAGCACTTGACTAGGTAAATCCTCCTAAAGTTCATTTTCAGGGTGAAAAAAATCCAGTGTCGCCTTGTCTAATGAAAGCTCCTGGTAGGTGAAAGGATTTTCTGCTGTGAGCAAGCCGTCATGGGATGTGTCAGTACAGCCCTTGTGCCCTCCTCCCCTCCTCCCCGCTCTCACCCTAGCACTTCTCATTTCTAGCACAGGCACAAAAACCACGGGCAGAAATACCTCTCGACAGGGTGTTTTATCAGGATGGGGACAACGTGCAGTGACAAGGAAAACACACACGAAAATGCATGAATGCCCCCGAGGGTCTGTCTGCCCAGCTGGAGGGCCAGCCGGGGCCCTCGTCCTCTTCAATGGTCACCCGAAGAGTTCAACTCCAGCATCCGCATGCCACCGTCTTGGTGGGATGGGTGTTTTTTTTTTTTTGGGGGGGGGGAGGTGATAGGATTCCTTCTGCTCCCCCATAGCCTCAGCAGCAGCGAGGGGACAGCAAGCCCAGGACCCCCAGCGGGGAGCAGGTAGCCGATGGCTGTTGGACAACGTGAGGAAAGGAGGCACACTTTCTGTGGAAGCCATCAGGATCAGCTTTGCATCAACGTCTGATCTATGAGGGGCTGGTCGGTGCCACGTGGAGGTGTCCTGCAGGCATGGCCGGACATTTGAGCAAGCTGCGAAAGAGGGATGAGCGTGGAAGGGGATGAAAACACCTCCTTGGGTCTAGCCAGAAGCCAGCCCTGAAGCTGGTTGGTGTGGGAAAGATGGTGAGGAAAGAAGCTGGGAAGAGGCATGGGAGTTAGGTTCAAAAACACATGAGAAGCTAATAAAGTCTTTATTCCTGATTCCAATATGAAACAGATAGGGTGGTGAGGATTTTGAATCATATCATCCTCAGCACAATTCCTCTGCTACAGTGGCCACTGAAATCTTCCAGCTTTTTATCGCAGATGTAGACCAAGAAAGAAGACAGAAGAAAAGCTGTGGCACAGGAGATGTACAATATTAGATAAATTTTTCTCGTTCATTCATGTCATTCTTCTTCCTTGAAGTTATAGGAAGGTCTTGTAAGACACCTCCCCTTCTCTAGCTTCATTGTCTTTTAACTGGTACTAACGCTGTTAAAAACTACTCCTTTTTGCATGAAAGGAGAAGAAGTTACCTGAGGTAAAACGCACTAAGGTCACAGTATTGCTGCCTTTGCAAATTGCAGGAAAACCTAGCTTTTCTTCCTTCTTTTTGTTATTGTTTCCTTACAAAGAATGCACAAGGGAGGCACATGCAAAAGGAGAGAGGAAGCAACAGAAGCAAGATGACATTTCTGTGCCTGACCTCCACGCTCTGTGGAGAAAAATAAGCTGAGGGCAGGGGCTGCCATGCCCAGGCATCTCCCCAGCCAAGACGACTGTGCTGGTGGCGCTGGCCCTGGGGGACTGTGGGGACCTCTCTCCTCAGCCACGCTGGCAGGGACATGCAAGGTCTGCACGCTTGGACACATCTGCTTCCAGCCTGAGCACCTGCAGGGCTTTGGGCAAAGGCAGCAACCCCAATCTCTCCTGCTTTTTTTCTTTTTTTTTGCTGGGTCCATAAAGCAGAGTGGAGGGAGGCCCCCAGGCATGCTGAAACCACCAGCTACACTCTGCCTAACCTTGTCTCGCTTCTTCCTCAAGGCAACATCCCTCAAAGCCACCGCCTGCTTCCAGCATACCCCTGTGCTTTGTCTGTTTGTGGGCACGCTCAGATTGCAAACACGCTGGGGCAGGGACCGTCCTTCTGCTCTGTGCACACACAGAGCCTGCTCGCTGGATACTGCCTGCTGCGGAGCTGCAGGCAGAAACGGGGACTGGTACATGAAATACAAGTGGAAAGGTGTGTGTGAAGGCAAAAGAGAGAAGAGAGGTAAAGCTCCACAGCGGCAGAATAAGGCTTAAAAGGATGCCCTGTATTCATAAGAAAGGCCACTACTTCCAGTTAATCAAGTTTGTCATGCCCAGATGCCCGCTCTCTTGTAAAAATCAGAACTGAGATTACTCAGATCGGAAGCCCCTATGCTCCACCAGACCAGTTATAGCACATCAAACATGGCATCCTTTTTCCTGTTAGAGCAACAGGTAGACAGGAGCAAGAAACCAGTCCTAAAGGATATAAAAGGTCTGTTCAAAAATGAGTTTGCTGTGAGCAGTGAAGAGGCACTCAAGAAAAGTGGCGAGGGCTCCATAGCTGATGTCCCCTGTCCACTGTGCATCACAGAAGTGACGTCAGGCCTTGGTACCTCTGAGTACTTGGGTGCATGTGCACAAAATCAACTTGCTTAGACATTTTGTATAACAACAGCACAGCCAAGCCAGCAAAGGGACACACCACGCATCTGCAGCAAGGATTCCCCATGAGATCCTGGCATATGCACAGTCCATCCCAGCAAGCAGCCCCTTTTCTAACCAGCGTCGGAAACCTCCTGCGCCGTCAGACCCAGATGGACAAGGAGACACCCCTGTGTCTCTAACCTCAGCCTTCTTGCCAGATGAGAAATGGGGAAATGGCAATATCCTTGCAGCTTTACCCTCCCTCTCTTGAGGAGCAAGACAATGTTGTGCTGCAGTCCTGACTGGGCTTCGATCCCCATTTTAGAAGAAGGAGGGGATTTTCTGGATGTTAGTGGGAGGAAAGCACTGGAAGTCCCCGCACTGATGTCTCTGTTTCCCCCCAAAGGAAGGCATTAAGGAAAGGGTGTCTGAAGGCAAATTAGTATCTCTGGAAAACACAGCAGCTTTGGGCTACTGCCCCAGAGGAGCTCTGGAGGCCAGCATGTACCTTCAGCAATGCGGCGTGGGAGGCATGTCCTGAAAACAGCTACAGTAGGGAGCACTGGCAGAGCAGTCCCCTGCACCAACCAGCGATGCTTCCCAAGGAGCAGGACAGGCACGGCGAGAGCTATTGCTCGCAGCTGTGTGCTGCCACAGCCCAAACACTGTCCCAAGTAGAGCTGGGACACCACCCCGTCTGGGCAGGACGAGGTGAGGTCTGCCAGGCCTGCAGATAACCATGCCCTCACACTCTTCTGCTCACTGCAGACAACCATGCCCTCACACTCTTCTGCTCACTGCAGACACCCTCTCTCCTACCCGTTACACAGGAAGCAACACTGCTGGGCTAAACACAAGCCATCTAGAAAACCAGGGCACCAACAGAAAAGGAGATGTCTCCCAGTACGGTGGTGCTGGACCTGTCTTCGGTTAGGCCTGTCAGCCCATGGCTGGGGATGCTTGGCCTCTGGTTAGCCCACTGCATTGCTAGACATCTCCATCTTCTGACGCACAGTAGAGCAGAGGACCGAATGCAGCCGTGACAGTGGGGTGTTTCTTTGCAGCCACTGCTATCTCTGTGGCATTGTTTCCATTGCAAAAGCCACAAAGCGTTGCAGTCACATACATTTGCTTGCTCTCTCTTTTACTCTTCTGTTCTTTGTAAAACACTAAGCGCTTTCCTCACAGGGAATGTAAGTATCATACTTACATTTCCATGTAAAGGTGACAGACTCCCACACATCTGAAGGCAGCATCTCGAGAGAAAATACGTAACTGTTCCCAGCTCTAAGTCTTCAACCTAGTGACAAGCCAATAAACATTCATGCCTGAGGCTAATAACAAAAGAGAACGTTATTAGATCTAGAAAAGGAAGAGTACAAATACACTTAGCACGTTATTCTCAGGAAAGTCAGCATGCAATAAGCCAGTGTCGATTTGTAGCCCATCTGATAATTTGCACCATCTCCTCTGGTATGAAGCTTAGGTCGTATTAAATGGCATTTGCATGGGACTCACTACTCTTCCCTGAAAGTACAGTCAGACACCCTGTACTCACCACCACCTGAGACCCTCACCATGAAAGATGACAAGAGTATTGCAAATTCACACCTCTAAATTTCTCACAAAGACAGGCCTTTAGTTAGGCACAGTTTGTGAGGAGAAGAGCAAACGTGATCTTGACTGAAACACCAGATGGCTAATATCATGTGGAGGGGAAGCTTTGGATAAGGCTAACCTTATTCTTGGGAGCAATCCTGAGTTTGCACCCTAGCCTGCAAGACTAACAGCTGGGCTCCATCTGGGTTGCCCTGGACGGTAGCTGAGGGTTTCACGGTGGCACATTCCCTTCTCCTTTAGCATAACTTTGCAGGACGGGGTGAATTGTGGGCAGTGGCTGGAGTGGGAAAGAAGCAAAGTCAGCCCTGGCAGGAGGAGTTGCCCTGCACTGTGAAATGCCAAGGAACTGCTGGCTTCCACATACAGTTTCAGCCATTTGGCTGTTGAAGGCCACATATCCCCTCCTTTTCACTTCTGCCTTACACAGAGCCAAGAAAGGAAGAAGTCCAGCTTGAACGAAGCACTGGAAATATGAAGGTCATGAACTCAGAATAAAGCTTTGGCCAAAGGTTTGGCGGGGATGCTAACTCAGTGGCTTGGAGCCTGTTACATGCAAACTGAGAGCACTGCTTTGACTGTACACAGTGGAAATATTCCAAAAATAGTGACACACCCTGACAGCGCTGAAACGGCTGTCTGCAGAAACTTCTTCATCCTTCTCTAAACAGAGGTAGATGGAAACTTTCAAACCATGACTCGTGCAGAATAGCCCTTGGCTCATTATTTCAAGATAAATGTTTCCCTTGTGACGTCCATAATACCACATCATCAGCCCCAGGTGTTCTCTCTCTCAGACTCGTTTTCTTCTTTTCTACCTGTGAGCCTGTGTCAACAGCCAAACCTCACAAAAGGCGCCCAGTTTAAGTCTGGTCTGAAGGAACGTAACATCCTTAGACAGAGCAGTGTGACAATCTGTGGTTCACAACAACGAGTGAGGCTAGAGCAGATATCAGCACCCCATCAGACAGTTATTCTTGTAGACGGTGCATTTCAGTCTTGCTTGTCTGACACTGATTTCCATCATCTATAATGATCGCAGCTTTAGGATCTAACTTTCAGTATCTTATTCTAGTAATTTCAGTGACATTATTACTACTGCAAAACATGTTGCGGTC